GTCTCTCTTTAGAATAGATATTCGGGGATGCTTTAGACTTCATGTGTAGCGGTATCATCGCGAGCGCCAGAATATCGTCTGACTTGAGTATACGTTGAGGAAACACAAGTGTGCGGGGAAGGTTTAGCCACAGTAATTCACAGTCTTAAGCATTGATACTACATGAAACACGATGTGTAGGTAAGCCAGCCCACTTCTACAGGTTGTTTGATAGAAAAATTTGAGCAAAAATTTTTTTTTTTTCAAATTTTGAAAAATTTGCAGAGAAGGAACATAGACAATCAAAGGAATAACATTCTCAATGCGATTTGTTGATAAAGACTTGGCCGACTGGAGATGAGATATCACGAACTAGATTGTCTTGCTTTGACTTGAAAGTGTGAAGTTGAAACTTTTGGATTTGGACAGATGTTCAACCTGAAAGTTCATGTCTCATTAATATTATAATTTTTTGGAACAGGTGTGAATGTCTGCCCATGTGGGCTCGGTTGAAGTCCGAAAATTCAACTTTTCAGGAAAACAATGTGTGAGAGCCACAGAGACGGAATGAAATCAGAAATGTTTTTCAATGTATTACGTAAGTGATAAGTAAGTAACCTGCATATCGAGGAAAACAAATTGAAAACCATTCCTTCGCTGGTGGTAGCTGAGATTTCATCTTAATGCAGCGAAAATGGTTTTAAGCACAACACCAGTTCAGACCTCTTTATTCAACAGCAAATACACCAACGCATCACCTCCCATAACCAAGACAGTAATCAATGAATGAACCATTCTCCATTCAGGCGATTCTTGAGGGATGAACATGTAGAAAACCCATGATACTGTGTAGATGACAAACATCAGAGCACATTGCCAGCACAATCTCCACAAGATGAATTGAGAAAGAGATGAGAGCTGTTAATCACCTTATCTCTTTGACCATATTTGCGTTTTTCACTTTCTTCTTCATTATGAACACTTTAGCGAAGAACTGAAAACGAAGCTATACGTGTTAATGACAAAGGCATCATCAGACTGTTGTGTATAATACGAAGCATACACCACTCGCTATGAGATTGATAGGCACGTGTATCAGCTTTTCAGCATAGTTAGTAGCGTTAGAAGGTGTGTAACGGAAACCATAGTGTGATGGGTAAAACACAACTCTGAAACATTGAAAAAGATTTTTTGGTAGTTACTACCGCGATCACCGACAACAAAGCACCTGTTGTGCCATAGTCGTTAGAACCGTAGAGAGAGCAGTAGCGCAGATCAACATGATCACAATACGCTTATGCGTGAAGATGAAAGAATGGGGGAAAAGAAAGATGGAAGTCCTTAAAACGTTCCATTTCCAGGTTTTAAAGTGTTCGTACCTGTTCAGAGCTAACACTACCTGAACAACGAGAGATGTGAACCAAAACACAAGAGAAGCAAACGTTACGACGGTCGCAGCATCGTATAGGCCCTTCTATATAACGCAAAATAAAAACTATGCAATTCAAAACGATCAACTCCAAGGAAAAATGAAGGCCCGAAGAAAGCCACCTGGAGGAAGACTGAGCTCACATTAGTAAGTAAGTCATATCCGATTATAAGATAAATAGAATTTGAATTTTTGGAAATGAGCTTGCCTTTGAAGATGCAATATAGACAAAGAATATTACAAAGAAATAAAATCCAAGCTTCTAAGTTCAATAAGACGGAA